TTTGCCTCAGGACAAACCTAAAATAACTTATATAATATATAAAACCTGTTGGAATTTATCTCAACGCAGCGGTGAGACGATCTCTCCCTCTCGATCTGTGCATGTGTGTGTTTGTTGGGAAGAGATTATCAAAAAGGCGCGAATATTAGGGAAAGACCTGATATCAAATAATTAGAAGGGGTGAGACTTCGAATCTAGGTCACCTAGCCCATCAACTTGTGGAGCTAACCGGAAAACCTCTAGGCGTTTCTCTCTAGGAATAGATTATCTCTCTCACCGGAAGGACAAGTGTATATATATGGGCAAGCTGGCCATGCATGCATGAGTCCGGTGCCCTACACGCCCACATGCACTAGTAGAAAATATATCGATCTGCCATTAGCAAACAAGCAAGCATGATGTGATAAAAGTGTCCTCGTGGACGATGGACAAGGACACCGAAGATTAGATAGCTAATTAAGCTCTCCTCTCTCACGAGCCACGACATGCTCAATGTCGCCACGGCCGGTCAATATGATGCCCTACCTGATCATCGACGCCGTGGTGGGGGCCCACCTGGAAGTGACACGGCATGCAGAAAGGGCCCCACTCCATTGCTGCATGCAAGGAAGGAATTAATGTCCCATGCAATGCATGCACAAAGAGGAGAGAGAGGAGACGTGTGTAGTTGTGTAGTACACGCTCCATTCTAAAATAAATTTATCTACGGGTTTCTGTGTCTAACATTTGATATCCGTTTTATTTAAATTTTTTTATGATTAGTACTTTTATTGTTATTAGATATAAAACATGAATAATAATTTATGCGTGACTTATTTTTAAATTTTTTTCATAATTTTTTTTAAATAAGACAGACGATCAAATGTTAGACACAGAAGCCCAGAAATGAACTTATTTTGGGACGGAGGATGTAGCTAGTAGGGGAGTGGGGTTGTGATGCCCCTAGCTAGGGCTTGCATTGCATTGGAATTCATGCATGTGGGACAAAAGGAAGGAAAGACAGCAAAGGGTGGGGATTAGGGTGGAAGAAAGCTCAAAGAATGCATGCAGTGCAAGGAAGGAGGATGATCGAGGTGATCAGAGAATGGCAGAGATATGCATGGGGCCTCATGATCAATGGTGATATCAATCTCTCTATCTTGGTTAACTTAGTTAGGCTCTTGGGAGTTAGTCCATCTATCAACACATCACTGTCACCTAAGCTAGGCTTCTAGACAGCGACACCAATGAGGTAAGGGAGAGAGAGGGGGGAGATCTAGAGGGGAATGTGTACGAGACTGTTAATTAGCGTGTTTGGATGAGCTTATTGTGGCTGCACAACTGTTATACGAAGCTATAGGTAGTACCTGGTAGCTATTCCCTCCATAAAAAAAAAAGACAATCTAGGTGGGGATTTGACACCACCTAAAACTATGAATGACCTAGAACTATGAATCTGGACAACTATATGTCCAGATTCATTATCTTAGATGGTGTAAAATCACCATCTAGGTTGGCTTTTTTTTGGGACGAAGGGAGTAGCTAGCAACAATATGCTCAGTTTCCTGTGTCATAATATATATATAATAAGTGGTTTGGGATACAGTTTGTTTATAATTTGAAATTTTGACCAGTATCCTTACAACAAACAAAATAACTGTCACTTGACCTGTTTATATCTAGCTTCAGACACATCATTGTGGTAACCATATCAGTTTTTCGGAGAAGATCACGTTTTGGTTTGTTCATATTTTATTTTCAAAACTGATATGGGACATGTGTTATATACATATACAACCCATGGTGGTTGCAAGGAGAGGTTGAGTGCAAATCCTACACCCATTTGATAAGGGAGGGAGAGTGGCTGCAAAGCAGAGAAAAGCTGAAAGACATAGAGGGACCCCTTTGCCAAAAGCATGCATGCAAACCTAGATCCTGTTTTGACTGCCCCCACAAAAAAAACATGCTCAATGGAAACTTGAACAATGCCATCATGCCTGTCCTAAATAAGCTCCAAATAGACTCTCCGATCGATTAAGCAAGGGTGCTGCACGCTCAACAGCTCAATTAAACATCCCACTGGGCCCTAATTACCCCCTCTAGAGTAGCTAGCACCGTGCATGCTTAAGTTAATCAATATATATACATCAGCATGCATGAACTTTTACAATTTTGTAATCTATAAAGCATAGAGAGGATTATGCATGTTTGGCTAAGGATATATATTTTAGCAACTCCTTGTTCGACTGAGACCGTTGCTGATTTTATTTCTATAGCTTGGATTAATTGAAGTAGATCTTTCCATGTAATTTTGCATAAAACTATATTTTAGAAGTAAATTTAGATTTCATCAAAAGCTTTTAGGTTACTTCTGTTTTCCTAGATGCAATTATCATTTATTACACAACTCTATCAATCAATCTACACAATTATAAATTAATCTAGATCCACCACAACCAAATCCTATATACTTATATAGTTCATCCCCACTAAGTGTAGTTAATGCTATTTCTCTCTTATCTTATTAAGCCACACCACCCAATTATTTCTAGCCTTTAGATGATAGATCTATGGTTCAAATTGTCTCTTCTTTCCTCTCTCATAACACCATACAATCTTAATTATTTTTAAGCTCAAAATTTATAAGTATCAATTTGTTTTAGTTTTAATAATTATATTGCATCTTATTTATATACATTATCTAACTTAATTTTCCGCAGCAACGCGGCGGGTATTCATCTAGTAATTAATATGTTTCGTTCCTATTTTTCCTCCAATTAACACAATAATTTCTAGACCTTTAGAGTGAAAAAAATGGTGATTTCTTTTATCCCTCAATATCCATGTGAAATATATTGAACTTTTGAGTGTTATCAAAAAATATGAAATTGCGCGGGAAAAAACATACTCCTATATAACAGCTTCACCTAGAATTAAAAAGACATGTTTTTTTAAGACTATTACAAAATCTAGTTAGCAAATGCTCGGAAATGAATGTAATACAATCATATATGGCATGGGTCCGGTTTAATTTCCCAACATATGTCAATTGGGGAGGGACATGCGTGACCACAGGATGGCCTTTTCATGTAATCTAGGCCCTGATCAGACTAGCTCTGGCCTGCCATTAGGCTGACACATTTTATGCACTGAATCATTCTTAATTACTTTAATGCCCTACTTGATCCCCTAATTAGGCTCATCAATCCTTTAATAATCCATTGACCTTGGTCAAAATCTTCCCCACAAGACAGGAAGGCCTCTGGCTTTGTCCTTGCAAAGGGAGCAGCAGGGCTAAGCTAGCTCTAGCCAGGAATGTACTTTATATATAGTTTGATTAATAACTAACTAGGGTACTTTGGGGGTCTAATCCTAGCTAGATTGTGTGCTTTAGAGAAATTAGCCATCTTTATCGACCGCTCGTGCAGTCGACCCCGTTGCATGCTTAATTTGGTCACAAGGTAGGGCTGTAGGACCTCATGAATTCAAGGTAATTTATATTGTCTTGAGCTCGATCGGCCACATTTGCCAAAAAAAGAATACGGTCAATCTGTTAAAAATATTTGTTTTATGTCTCTTAAAGAAGATACCATAATTTTAGTGTTAATTTGCACTACCTTCTGGTTTTTTACATTGAGAAGGTGTTAAATTTTACACTAAAAAATTCTCATGAACCATAAAAACGTCTTAATAATACTGGTAATATTTTGGGGTGCATCTTGACATGTTCTATGACAACTAGGATGCAAAAACAAAAGGAATGTAATTTGAATATGTAAGTTTTATAGAATGCAAAATTGTGTTTAGAAGGCCTAACGAAGTTTATAGTTTTTTTTTTTTGCATTTTTTTTATTTTTTGCCCAGGGGATTGATTTGCACATTTTTGTTCGAGAATAGGTTCCTTTATAGAGTTTGTAAACAAAATCCGTGTCTCAATGTTGGCAACCACAATACAACCAACTATGAAATGATCCAATAACATGCTTGTAAGATTGAGAATGGTGCCAGGGTGGTGGTTGAGGCAATAGCGATAGTGACTAGAAACGGGAAAGTGTATGAAGAAAAAAACCTATTGTGAAGGTTTGTCAAATAAGAAAGAAATTAGGGGTAACACTACGATTAATAGGGTGGAGACATGCCTAGTGTAGCTAGGGATTGAGCCCTAGGCCACCTTTAAAACCGTGCTTAAATTATTGTTAAATACCATATAAATCCTGAAGAAAACCAACACTTCATTAGTTAAGTCCTATTTTATCCCTAGTCTTTTATAATTTCTGACTCCGCCACTAGTTATGAAGGTGGTGGTTTAAATAGTAGTGGAGCTGTTTGTCATGACTCATGAGTAGACGAATGTGCAAGAGAGAGATTATGTGGGTTGCAGAGAAGGTACTAAGGTAGTAGGCTAGAATTAGGGGAAAAAACCGTCCGGCGCACATTCACGTCCGAAAAAACCATGGCAGTTTTCCTACTTTCCTACTACTTTCAGCTCAGTAGATGCCATTTAGAAACTCAAGTTCTAAATCCAACACGGCAATACACTTACAAACCAGTGAAAATTCAGGGTGGTGGCCGTTTCTGCCCAACTGATGAACTGATCTCCAGTCGGCTGGTTTTTTTTGTTTAGGTCGCCCCTGTAACTGAAGCACCAGCAGCTGAAGCAACACTAGCCGTACGTCCAATAATCCAGCTACTTAGCAAAACAAAACGGCCTCCCCTAATCTTGCGTGTCCGGCCAATTGCACTGCCGTTTCGTCTATTCTGGCCACACTAAACAATGAGCAATCTGCAAAAATGAATGCAAAAATTCAGCCATTAGAATTAGAATACCTTCTGTTTTTGCCTGACTCGAAAGAGAATTGAAATGTTTCGCGCTGGTAATTTACTGTATATATAATAATAATAATATTATCCCCTCTCTCACTCTCACTCTAACTTTACTCTGTCTCTCATTCTCTCTCTAGAAATGGAGACAGTGAGACGGCTACCTCGCTTTAGGCCCTTTACCTCCTAGAAGTAGCAGACAGCAGCAGTAGCAGCAGCAGCATCGCATGCACTTTGCTCACCTTCTCCTCCTACTCCTACACAAGCCATTCCCTTCTTCTTCTTCTTCGTCTTCGTCTTCGTCTTCGTCTTCTTCTTCATCTTCCTCCCCAATAACAAAATCTTTCTTTGGCCAGCCCAAACAGCTCTTGCTGCAGTCACTCTCTCTCTCTCTCTCTCTCTCTCTCTCTCTCTCTCTCTCTCTCTCTCTCTCTCTCTCTCTCTCTATCTGCTCTGCACTTTTCCATCAAATCACAACCTCTGTGCACAGAAAGACAAACAGTGCCCCTGCTTGTCTCTGCCTCACCTTCACCTGTGGCGCCATCTCTTGCAACAGCAGCGTCGTGGCTGAGCAGAGAAGCATCCGTCTCTCTTTGGCTTGTCCTGGCCTGCCTGCCTGCCTGCATGAGTGCTTGCCTGCCTCTCCCCTGAGGAACAATGAGAGATGGCGCCAAGAAGAGCAAGGTGAGTTTCTTTGCTGTTGTTAATTCTTGCTTTCTCTGATGATCTGATCTTCAGACATTGCAAAGAGGCAGATTTTCTTGTTTTTTTTTGGTACCAAATCTTCTCCAACTTCTTGTTGTTGTTGTTGATGATGATGATGATGCTGATGCAGCTGTCATGGTCCAAGAGCCTTGTGCTGAAGTGGTTCAACATCAGGGGGAAGTCCTATGACTTCCATGGCGATGATGCAGCTGCTGCATTTGGGAGGAGAGGTGAGTGAGTGAGTGAGCCTGATGAACTCTGAACAGTAGCTAGCCACGCCCCTCTCTCTCTCACTGACAGAGTGTGTCTAGCTGTGGGGCCCACACTGCCACCCCCATGGGCCATGGCTACTACTACTACTCCAACTCTCCTACCTCCTGTCTGCCTCTTGGAGATCAGATCACTCTTTTGTTTTGTTTTCTTGCACTGCTGCTGCTGCTGGTCAAAGGACCCAGCTTTTTCAGTTCTTTTTTCTTTCTTTTGGGTTGGTTTGTGATGGATGGCATGGTGATCCAAATTTGCTGAGACATTCGGGCATTTTGATTGTTTTTTTTTGTTCTCTGATGATGAGAATAATCTGAACTGGAGCAGGAGGAGGAGGAGAGGATGAGTGGAGGAGCAGCAGCTTTTCCAGGAGGGAATCCTGCACGGTCAAGAAGAGCAGGACAGGTGATTCTATTCTAGTACCAATCTGACCGAATTTTTTTATTTTTTTTAAAAAATTCGAGTTTTCATATGATTCTGGTTCAATTGGTACCTAGAGTCTGCAAGTGCACGAGAAAGAAGAAAAGAAAACCCCCAGATTTTTATATGATTATGATTGAAGAAAAAAAAAATAATTTCGAATTGTTGCAGAGAGGGCGTCGCGGCGGAGCCACGAGCGGTCTCGCCGGAGCAAGATCGACCTCGACGCTGCGGAGGCCACCGTCACGTTGGACTACAGGTGCGCGTGTGTGCATATCTCCGGCGATCGCCGCCATTGCTGCTGCACCGATCTCCATTGATCCGTAACAATGTCGTCGTCGTCCTCGTTGTTTCTTGCGTTATGTAGGATCTTCGTTGCCACGTGGAACGTGGGCGGCCGCGCGCCGCCGGGGTCGCTGAGCCTCGACGACTGGCTCCGCACCTCGCCGCCGGCCGACATCTACGTCCTCGGGTACGTACACGCCGCCGCCTCTCGCCATTGCCGTTGAAACGTAGCGTTGGAATATAAACTGAATTGCTCGTTTTTTTCTCATCAGTTTAAGTTTTTGAATTGAACTAGTGAGTGTATACAACTTACAGTCTCATCTTTTAGCTTATGCTGATTTTGAAGTTTTTTTTATCGTAGTTTATTTTTTATCCTTCGCTTTTAGATCGCTAATAACACGTATATAAAAATTTTATTTACAAATTATTTTACGTTAATAAATATATCATTTCGCTTAATCTGTCAATAAGTTAAACGATGGCCTCCTTAATATGGTCAGAGCTTGGATTGAACTGGTCGATAAATGCAACTCAATACGTGTAGGTTCCAGGAGATCGTGCCGTTGAACGCCGGCAACGTGCTCGGCGCGGAGGACAATGGCCCGGCGAGGAAGTGGGTGTCGCTGGTGCGGCGGACGCTGAACAGCCTCGCGGGCACGGGCGGTGGCGGCGGAGGCGGAGGTGGCGGGGGCATGAGGACGCCGTCGCCGGCGCCGGACCCGGTGGTGGAGATGGACGACGACTTCGAGGGGTCGTCGTCGAGGCAGAACAACCCGGCGGCGTTCTTCCACCGCCGCTCGTTCAACGCCGGGCTCAGCCGGAGCCTCCGGATGGACGGCGACATCCTCGGCGGCGGCGGCGGCGCGCAGCCGAGGCTGGAGCGCCGGTACAGCGTCAACGACCGCGTCATGTACGGCAGCCGGCCGAGCGACTACGAGGCCAACTGCCGGTGGGGCCACCCGTCGGACGACGGCGAGATCGACGACGGCGGCGGCGAGTCGCCAAGCGCGGTGTTCTCGCCGATGTCGTACGGATACGGCGCGCCGCCGTACATGGAAGAGAGCAATGGCGGCGCCGCCCATTCTAGGTGACCACCATTTCTTGGCTTTGGATCTTGAAATTTCAGCCTTTCATCAGGATAATTAAGCTTGATTTCATGGAATTATCCCGAATTTACAGTAGTTTTGATGAGATTTAATTAGGATTTTTATTTTCTAAATAAAATTTGAGGTGATTTAGGTACTGCTTGGTTGCGAGCAAGCAAATGGTTGGATTGTTCCTGATGGTTTGGGCTAGGAGAGAAATAAAAAGTGACATAAGAAATCTCAAGGTGTCTTGTGTAGGGAGAGGATTGATGGGCTATCTTGGAAATAAGGTAACTTATGTTAAAATAATCTGTTGTGATTTTTGGTGTTATATTCCTATCTTATTGCCATTATTGAATTTGAAGAAAAAAGAGTAAGAAATTGTGTTTCAGAAGCTTTGTAAACCAATGAGAAGTTTTTTTTCCCAGGGTTCGATTTCGGTTAGCATGTTGTTGCACCAAACAAGCTTCTGCTTCGTCTGTAGTCACCTCACATCGGGGCAGAAGGATGGTGATGAGCACCGCAGAAACTCCGATGTGATGGAAATTTTGAGAAAAACCAGGTTCCCAATGGTTTATGGACAGTATGAGAGATCACCAGAGACTATTTTGGAGCATGAGTAAGCAAAACACCTTAGCATCCCTCAACTCTTGTAAATTAAAAACTTGCAATCACAAATATTGTGTAATATATCCTTCACCTTCGCCATTTTCTTAGTCGGATCATTTGGCTTGGGGACCTAAATTATCGGATAGCGCTTTCCTACCGATCGGTGAAGGCTCTTGTGGAGATGCGCAATTGGAAAGCATTGCTTGAGAAAGATCAGGTATGAGCTTAGCAACAAACTTTGAAAGACACAATGCAGATCTCCAATAGTGGTAAAATTCTTCCAATAGTAGTTTGCTTGTGACAGAGGCAATCATTGCTTTATATCCTGTCATTCTTTTGCTTTGGTGACGTTACAAGACTTCATTAGTTTGGCAAAACAGAAGGCCAAGAATAATTGTGATGAGAAGGCATGAATTGCTTATACTTTCAGCTGAGGAGCGAGCAAAGAGGCGGCCGCGTATTTCCTGGTTGGAATGAGGGGAGGATATATTTTCCTCCTACTTACAAATACTCAAATAATTCCGACAGATATGCAGGGGATGACATGAACCAGAAAGAAAAGAGGAGAACTCCAGCATGGTAAGTAAAGCACATTGCCAGATTTTTGCCATATTTCGTACAGTTCAGCAATTTCAGTGATCTTGTTTTACAGGTGCGACCGCATTTTATGGTATGGAAGGGGTCTTAGCCAACTCTCATATGTTCGAGGAGAGTCCCGCTTCTCAGATCATAGGCCTGTCTACAGCATGTTTAGTGCAGAAGTAGAATCGATCAATCACAGCCGAATTCAGAAAATGAGTTGTTCAAGCTCGCAATTGGACATCGAAGAATTGCTGCCCTACTCATATGGTTACACCGATATCAACCCATATGGATACACCGACCTCAACTTCTATTGAAATGGGCTCAAAAGGTTTAGCTTCATCATGAGTTCTCTGAGTCTTAGAAGCATCAGGAAATTTATTTCCAGTCCTGCTCTGAAACACCTATAGTTAGCTTTGTCAATTCTCTGTCAACAACGGACAGTGTTGATAGACCTGAAGACCTGAACCGAACTAAGGTTCTCCTTCCGATGAACTGGTGAGCTGCATTTGCACATCGTAGTTATGAAAGTTTTTTTGTGTAGACAGCTCACATGAGTTCAGAAAAATACCATATGATGTTCATATTCAGTCATCTTCAGAAGTTCTCTGAATGTTCAGATAGATGCCAAGATCCTTTTTCCTATCCAGACAAGGTACATACCTGGTCCATGTACATCATTTGCATGTGGTGAACAAGGAACCTGATGATCAAATATATGGACTTTTTACAGGTACCATCCATTAACTAATTAGTAGAAGAGATTTTCCACTGACTCCACAAAAGAAAAAGGAAAACAACTACAAGACTAACATCAAGAGAAGCATTGCTCATATGATGAGCAAGATAGTACTGGCCATTCAAATCTGAAGCTCAGATGACTTTGGCCAAAGCAAAGAGATGCATGCCAGACAACAACAGCAGCAAGCGTGCATCAGTTTATTTTTCTTCACCCCCCTGTACATTGTAGGCCAATTTCTTTCATTCTCTTTGGTTGCTTTGACAATGTAAACGATCGAAAAACGACAAGTGTCGGTCTGTACAACTCTTGTGTTCTTGGCTTTTGAAAGCTGAAAAAAAAGGGTCAATGAATGCATGCAATGCCCATACTCATTCCTCTGGATGGAGAAAAAAGAAGAAGCAAGTGTAAGTCATGATCATCCTGTGTTGCAATTGCAGTAGGAGCATTTCCTCATCGGTGAGCTGACAGAAAAAGGCTACTGGTCACATTTCAGCCTTCCTTCACTCTGCAGGAAAATGTGTTGCTACCCCCTTTCCCTCCTTTTGCTGTTCTGAGTTTCTCTGAAGGAATAGTGAACAAAAGACACAAAAGGCTCTGTGTTGCTGGAATCTGCAGGGAGGTTTTAAATTCTTGTTTCCTGTGTTTGAGCATCTTTCAAACTTCCTCAGCCCATTATAGCTTAGCACAATTGGAGGTAGCTTCTGCATTCTGGAACTGTTCATTGATCAATTGCATCTTCAGTCTCTGAGAATGTGTGCTTCTATCAGTTATGCACTCATTTATGATTTATCATGAGATCTTGCTGCAATGAGACCCAAACATCATGCAATCTCTCTTCCTCACTTAGGGGGGTCCTCTTTTTGACACATTCTTTAGAAAGAAAAAAATATATGAGGCAAAATTAAGTGTCTGAATTTTCACCATGAAAGGTAGAGAATTCAGAGAAAAGGCAACAGCATTCCTAAAAACTATCACATCTCAGACGTGTATGTACCAATATTATTCCAGCAAAGCCTCAGTAGGCCACTTTAACCATGCACGTTGGCAGCCTTACAAATTATACTTCTTTTCACGAAAACAGTGCTTAGTAGTAGCTCTAACATAAAGATGCGAGTACTCTGCTGTCTTAAAAGGTGCATACAACGTTCTTGTCACTGACAGATGGATCCATGCAATTCAGAACATGCGAAAATATTCTTGGCACATTTACATGATGTTTAAGGTTCAGAATGAACATATTTAGGGCTTGTTTAGATCCCACCCCAAATTTTTTTACCATGTCACATTGAACATTTGAACATCTGCATTAAGTATTAAATATAGGTTCAAAAAATAACTAATTGTACAGATTACGACTAATTTGCGAGACGAATCTTTTAAGCCTAATTGCTCCATAATTTGACAATATGGTGCTACAGTAAATATTTGTTAATGATGGATTAATTAGGCTTAATAAATTCGTCTCGCGGTTTACTGACGGATTCTGTAATTAGTTTTTTTTATTAGTGTCCGAACACCCCATGCGACGCCCTATATAATATCTGATGTGATACGCCAAAACTTGACACCCCTGAATATAAACACCCCCTTAGCAAGAAAAATATGTTCATGGAAAGTTTCACAATGACCATATTGACCACAAGAAAAAAAGGGATTACACTCAGCTTGAGTTTGTTAGGAATCAGGAGTTCATAAATAAAGATGAAAGAGCACAAAACACTGGTCTATCTTGAAATTCTTGTGAGAAATAGACATAGTAGGTGCACAAAAGGCAGACAATCATTGTGGGAGAGGAGAGTAAGTAGGAAATTTCATTTTTAGCCTCTCCCCTTTTTCGTGGGGAATACAGTCTTGGTGGGCTAGCTGGCTTGGGATCATGCCTCACCACCTCAGAAGGAAAGAAAATCGAAAAGGAGAAATATTTGTGTTCTTAGTTAACCTAGTATTAGTATATGCTAGACAAGGTTTCGTATATCAAATTACGGAAAAATATGGTAACCGACTCAGATAAAAGTCTATATTCAAAATTTTTTAATTCAAAAACTAGTTACCGTAACTTATCTGATAAAAGTCTATATCCAAAATTTTTAATTCAAAAACCCGTTACCGCGATAGCCGGCTGGATATTGGACCAATAATTGGTTGTACTTGAATTCAAAATTTTTGGTTCAAACTTTTTACACGAGTACCCCCTATTTTTTCAGAGATCCAACATACAAAAATGTATTAACATACTTAAACATGAAGGTACAAGAAAATATATGTATTGTACAATGTGAAATTTTAATTTCAAATTCTATATTTAATTTTGAATAGTTCCAATTAGTATATCAGTAACAAGTAGAAGTAGGTGGCTTAGGATGGTAGGACCGGTTAACGATGAGATTTAGCACCCTGATACTAGGTAGGGATGAAAATGATCAAAATATACACGAACAATTCCCATAACCATTTTTTTTTCTTTGAAACAGAATTGGAGTGGTAGAGCTGGAAACGATGACGATATTGATACTACCGGAACATAAAAAATATCGGGAACATAATTATTGAAATAGAGCCTCTGAAACAACATATCACAAGGGCAAGCAAGTCATATTCAAATTTAATTAAAACTCCTCATTTTCAAAATATAAGGCATAACTACTTTTTCAGATATTTCATAATATATGGTGGGCATGCATGTATGCATGCAACTAACTAGCACATTCTCTCCATCAAATTATTATTATTTAAATCATTTACTCTCAAGATCTCTGATTTGGATGCATGCACTGTATTTATTAGAGTGATCCAAACGAGGAGGTGATAATAAATATATATTGTGTCTACAGATTAAGGGTGGTTATGCCTTATATTTTAAAATGAAGGGAGTATGTGAAGACTCAAATTAAAGCATTAAGTAACTAACTTGAATATTTTATAACGATATTAATCATAACATCTCCATTAACAACACAGGGTTATGGTAATCGGTAGGTTTCTCTTATCCTAATTGTTTGTCAGTACTATACGCTAATTTCTTCGGAAATTCCGAATGAAAATGGTATACCGTCAAAATGGCCGGGAAAAATACCTCTACAATTTTTGTTCCATTTCTAAACAATACAAAATCAGAATAAAACGATTGGTAAAAAAACAGAAACAACAGCCACTATGGTTGGGCAATCTCCGTACCATTTTCACCACTAATACCAGGTATGACTATGAGGGCACCGGCTGAAGGATAGTTCAGCATCCATCAGCATGTGAGCAGAACAAGAAAGAAAAGAAGAGAAGAAAAGAATGAAGAATAAGAAGACAACGACAGCGAAGGTTGAGTTATATGGCAATTTTTTTACCCATCCTTTGGGCATGGAAATGACTGGAGTGAAAGCAAAGAGAAGACATGACCCTTGATATGAGAGAGGAGAGATGGATCCATGCAACCCTAGCTATCTAGTCTCCTAGAGGCCTAAAGCCATCCATGGCAGCAAGGTGGCCGGCCTAGCCGAAAGCACAAAGCTCAGCAGTACATTTTTTGCATGGGGCCAAGCCAAAACGATCTCATGGACAGTGCACAGCAAATGATGCTAGTTTGGTGAATGGTGATCATGCATATGGATTGAAGGAAAAAAATTGCAAAATCAAGAACTAGAGATCCATTGTTCATTCCAAAACAGAGCTAGTAGATTTTTTCCACACAATTTTGCACGAGGCTGGTTTTAAAAGTAGAAATGGATTAGCTATACAAACTCTTGCTTTTGTTTTAATCAATATAATTGTATTTTGTATGTAACTAAATCAATTAAATCTCTGTTACAATCTAACCTACCACAATCAAACGACATTCTTACCCTTTTCTTCTGATTAAGGTGATAAATTTTTAGGCATTCAGAGAGAACATGGTATTTCTTTTCCTCCATCTCCTTATAATATAGTAATGGAAACAAGCAACCCCATCTCTTCGCTTATGCATATACTTATAAGCTAATATTTGAGTTTTAATATTTAATTTACATCATAGTTTATTTGTACATCATTTGTTTTTGAATCGCTAAGAACATGTATATAAAAGTTTTACATTTATTGATTGATAATAAGCCATATGAGAATAAGCACAAGCATAAGAACGATGGGGCTATCCATCCACGGATCCACCATCCACATTCCCTAACCTGCCCTGATTTTGCATGCAGTTCTGAATTGATTATGTCTTCTGCTAATGATTGGGGAGTGCCACAAACTGTCATGACTCATGAGCTGGGGGCTGCTGCTCTTTTCACAGCATCATGTCCTAGCTGCCCTGATAACTGATCTCACCTCCCTCAGGTCAGGATCAAAAAGCCCCTCATTCTGGTCTCTGGCCATGCACAAACAACATAGCCTCATATATTGATTTGCAATAGCTACCAATAATTACATTGCATGGCATTTATGCCTTGTGATTAATCTTTTTTATATCTTGAAGAAATCAGTAGCATGGGAATAAAGGAAGGAGATCTTACATATTGGATCGGAAGGCAATGGAGTGAAAGTGTCACGCAACCAAGATAATTAGCTTGTGATCCTACTTTTAAGACAAGTACGTGCAAAAACACCATCAATTGGCTCACAAGTACGCATGCACGATGAAGAACAAAAGAGCAAAGTGCTTATTATTCGATCCGGCACGAATCTCGAGGCACGGAAAGTAGTGATATCAGCACGACAGCACCTCACCTTCAACTTACAGCCTTCCAAGGGAAATAAATCCATAGCTCATATCCGCTGTTGCCTCAACAAGAAGGCCTACTGCTACTTCACAAATACTGCATTCTTTTCTCCAACTTAGCTGTAGTGCTTTGTCATGAAGAATTATGGATCAAAATGCACCTGCTTTTGATCAAATGGTAAATGCAATTTGAACTACATGAAAAGAGGACGCCGCGAAAACAAAGCTTCAGTTGGTACCCATAGCCAAAGAACATTTCAGGAGCACCCTAGACAAGGCAACCAGCACATCAGCCTTTTGGGTTGAAAGGACTTCGGAATCGGAATTGGAGAAGAACTTGTGAAGTGAAGCCCACCTTTTTTTTTTTTTTTGGAAATGGGAGTTTTGCTTGGAGAGAGAGAGAAGCAGCCGGGAGAAGCAACTGTAGGGTTTTATCCTCTCTAAGAGCAAGGATAATAATACAGCTAGCTGCTTACTGTATAGATCTTTATAGTCTATCTCTTAACTCACTTATATAGTGGTTAACTCTTCACTATAAATATATGGCCCACCTGTCTGTATCACAGATTTTCTTGGCTCCTGCGCCTAAGCCGACTGTAAACTTACACCCCGCTTCTCATCTCTCTCCTCTGCTCTCTCATCCACCTCAGCATTCAGCCTTTTTATAGCCCTCTTACTTGCTCTAATCAGTCTAATGTATGGAGAAACTTCACTCTGCATTTCTGTTGTTCCTGGACAGATAAGAACACATCATGCATGTTAGTCCACTAGTAAATAGTAACACTCAAAAACAGGTTTGCACTCGATATTTACTCTTGTACACAAACTGCGTTTGGTTCTTGAAGCTGCATCAAGCCACCAACCATCTTTTGGTGGTTTTTACAGACAAGAGTTCCAAGTTAATTGTTAGCCTGAAGACCTTAGCATACTGGAGACAATCTACCTAGTGTGCATTTGCCAGGCAATACCTCAGTACATATTTGATAACAAACTAGATCTTTATGACTGCTGCAAGTAGCACAAACTAAGTTTTTTCTTTTAGGCAATGCTTATAAATTGGCAGTTTGGGAAAGCTTTTTGTAAAAGTGAACTCAGCTGGATTCATGCATTCCATAGTTATCTACAGTACACAGAACACACTCATTTGAAAATGTTTCTCAAAAATCAGCATTAAGTTAAAAATAAACACTAAATATAGTAGTACTGAACTTTATAATAAAATATCCTTAAAATTCTCAATAATCATATTGCCTATTGAAACGGTTAACTACATGGTCGTGCAGTTAAGATTACTTGAGTAGCAGCATTGCAGCACATCAAGCTTCGAGTGGCAGATTGTGAAGATAATAAGAGCAGTCAGATCAACCAAAGGTGTAACTTTTATTACCACGGCTATGTACAAAATCATTATGGTGAGCATTGTGCTCATTGAGATCTCCCCTAGGCACTAGCTAGCTATTTCATTCATGTTCTGGATCTAGTAGTTGAAGTGACATTGTTTTCAAGACAGTTCCTTTTGTAACTTGACTTTTCCGTCTAATGTGCAAATATGTTAAAGGCATCTGCCTCTGGCTGAGCCAATCTCTCTTTTTGAAAGAAGATAAAACAGCCTGCGTTTGTTGATGAAGGACTGTGCACCAGGAAGGAACTATCAAGAGAAGCTGTCAAGAAAGATATAGAAATACCTTTATCAACAAATCGCCCCTTTCACCAATTGAGCTCATAGTGTTTGTGGCTAAGAAACCATATATTTCATATGCACCAGGCCCATTTGGAAAAGAAGCCTTCTGCCTTCATGTATGTCACTTTGTGACTGGCAAAAAAGGAAGAAAATTTAGTAGATACTACTAAAGTTGTTAGTATATGAAAAAAGTAAGTGCATTTGAAGTAGTAGTGCTTGTTAAACATTTTCATCGGAAATTAATTATTAAGAGAACAGTAGGGGAAACCCTATAGTAATATAATATAAAAAGCGCACAGATGATCTACAAGACTGACAAGGAAACTTAATAAAAGCACTAACAACGCCTAAGCTAACAGCACAAAAGAGTTATGGAGTAAGGCCTGATCTAAGCTTTAGTGCCCAATACAAGGTACATAAATTGTTAATAATTATGGTGACTATTGTTTGACGCTACATATCCATGCCACAATGTCATGCTTGACGCAGATACATTATTAGCGTCACAGTGTCTCTGATGCAAGAGAAATAAAAGTGACGCTAACGAGATAGAAGATCAGGTCCAGAATGGATGTTATATTGATAATTGTAGTCACCAATATTTGGGCCCATATGTTAGTAATGACTTTTTCTTGAGATTTGAAGTGGTTTTTCAGTACGGCGCTTCCCTACTGGGCACTATGCAAATGGAACAAATTTAGGAGAATACCACAGGTACACCATAATATGGGAAGTAGCCATTGCTGTCTGAGGTGTTCATTGCAGCAAACAGAACAACCTAATATCAATATAGAATCAAGATATTATTTCTGATTATGAACCTCACTAGCAGGAATTTACAAAATATCTTAATTATGACAAGTTGTATCTGTCATTAGTAGTTGACATTGCGAATTAAGTGTGATGCATGCTACATTGTTTTGAATCAGCTTTTCCTGTTATTATGCTACAAATCAAGCCATGATAAATCCCCATGCTAATAATAGAAGAGATTCTTACAAACACATGATAGCAGTAGACATGTGCAATGAAATACAATATTTTCAATGAAGCAATGTATCATAAATGTATGCCTACGTATAGACTTATCTGCATAGTTAAGTTAAGGGGTGCAAGACATTGAATAATCCTTCCAATTTTAGAGCAGAAAGATGTGCACCCTATTAATACTACCAATCCTTGTTATGTAAGATTTTATTACCAGAGGTTTCCATACAGTGGTGTCCATCCATACAGTGGTAGCAAACCATGCTGATACCAGAACATCTCCTATGACATACAGTGAACAAAAGCAGCAGAGCTATCTACCAGGCTTAGTGTTTTCAAGGACCTGTGCTCTGTAGTTTTCATGTTAATCCAATCCATCTCTTGAAATGCAATGCTGCTTCCCTCCGTTTCAGTTGTGCTTCTGTTTGCACTTTAGGAGCCTTACCTTTGTACAATGTTCTGTGGTATTTAAGCCACAGGGACTTGTACTTGTATTTGTCTATAAACATCTTGCCTTTTTCCATCATTTCTATAACTTCCATGGCTCGAAGGAAGAAACCGCCTCTCACAAAGCAATACAGCAGAGAGTCCAGGAGCTCTTGATCAAAATTCATTGAACTTGAGGTGGCCAAAACTTTCATTTCACCCCACAAATCTGTCACCTCTACATATTTACCACCAACAGCAGCATAACCAGTTACTAAAGAATGGAATGTCTGTGCATTTGGCGTGTGTCCTAAAGCTTTCATCTTGCCAAGTGCTTTGTGAGCATCATGCATCAATCTCTTCTTGCAGAAGAAATGGATAACATTATTCCAGTCATGAATAGCATGATTAACCGGGTGGCCACTTCTGACTTCCTCCACTAGCTTAGTTGTCAAAGCAGCTCCATTGTTATTGCAGCCTTGTACTAACATCTCAAATTCATTCTGACCAGCTTTCAAAATATTCAAACTCTTCAACTCTTTAAAAAGATTGAGAGCACCTGTGGTATTATTGTGATGTGCTCTGGATTGTATCAAATCCTCATAGCAGCTTGGATCAAGCTGAATACCTGCTTGTTGAGCGTCTTTCAGAAGTGCAGCTATGTCATCTTCATGATGGCCCTCTTTGCAATATGCCTTTAGGAGAGATGAATAAATGGTAGAACCAACTCTAATTCCAGAAAATCTCATCTCGTCAAGAAGGTCATGTGCTTGCTCTAACCACCCAAGAGAAATACATGCATTTATCACTTGAACAACAAAGGAGCTTTCAACAGAGACAGGAGAATCCTCTTTGCTTGCTTTCACAAGAAATGATGCCAATGCACTGATCTTGTTTGCTTCCAGAAAAGCTTTAACAAGCTTGGCATACATTGTTTCAGTTGGATAGAGGATACCATATTCAGATTTTACTAGCCCAACTTGTTCCTGAAGCTTATCTGATAATAGCTTGAGTAATTCTCTCGCATCTAACTCAAGCCTTGCAAAGCTCTTATCTTTGAAGAATGAAATATAGTTTAGCATTTGACTGTCAGTACATACAGATTTGTTCGAGGAACCTGAATTAACAGGCTTGGTTTTCTCATAAGGAAGATAAATTTTGTTGTTTTCAACTGCTTCAAGAACTGCTTTAGCTGCTTCAAGTGAACGTTTCGTATTTTTACCCTTTTTAAGCATATCCAATATCATATCCACTGCAGAATCCAGATCTCCAAATTTCAAGTGGCAGGAGAGCAAGCAATCATAAAACTGCCTGAGCTCTGATTCACTAAGGCCACAGGCCTCATTAACATGTCTCCTCAGCTTCTGGATCTCATCTCTGTGCCCATTCTGTTCATATATCCGGGCCATAACAATCAACGAGCTGACGTCAGGCTTCAACCCTATCCTAGGCATTAATTCAAGAAGCTGCTCCGCCTTTTTTGTAGTGCCAAACAGAAGGGATGCAGTCAGAATTATGTTGAAGGTCAATGAATTGGGCTTCATTAATAGCAATGGACGGTTGCTCTTCTTCCGTGGATCAACCCTATTATTCTGGAAAAGGTAGCCAATCTCCATTACCATGTCAGCAGCAAGAAATGCACCAGTTGCAGTTTGGCACATATGCGCCACGATAGCCGACCATGCTGCAACAGGTGGGTATGCTTCCATCTTTATCAACTTCCTCACAACATTTATAGAAAGATTAGGAAGAGAAGACCGTGCGAGTGCAAGAGAGAGGAAAATAAGGGGCTCCTTCTCCAACAGTTTGCTCTTCTCTTCAAATGCATGATTAACCACATTGTAGGACTGGTTCAGCCAGTGAGCATCACAGGTCTCTGCGAAGCCAGTGATGAGCTTACTCAAAACAGACTTTCTGGGGACTCCATCCATGTGAATATGCTTCTCATAAGCCCTCCATGCATCATCAAACCTCTGCTGATCAATTGCATTCTCTATCTCCAATGCTAGCAGGGATGGGTCATGAGCTTGGACCAGAATTGTTTCAGTAAGAGTTGATAAGCATGGACCATAACTACCAATATTTAGCTTTGTGTTCAGGAACCCAATTGCACCAGTCCGGTTAGTCCAACAACACTTGGAGCCCAAGAAATGTGGGCTTTCATGACCAATCAAATGTCTTGGACCCACCAGGAATGAAGAAACAGCACGGGTTGAAGATCTTGAACAAATTCTCCCAACACGAAGCATTTGCCTGCCATGGACAAGGAGGATCACACAACAGAACAAAAAGAACTCAGACTAATATAGCAAATGTTAGAATTCTGCATCGTGTTAGCTGGATTCAACAAAATAACTAGCAAGCAAATAATGTATTGGACACATGGTTGATGCATTATTCAGTGTTACTCCTCCCATCCTCTGCCCAATTACAACAAGGCAATCACAACAGAACCCAAAAGAGATATGCAATGCAAACTATAAAGATCTGTTATTGTGGAACATTGTTGCAACTAAAGGGAGCTTGCAAGGGTACAATAACCACAGCCAGAATCATCAGTCTGGGTTAATCAAACCACCCCAGTGCATGTCCACTAATTAGGGAAGATTGTCCTTCAGCCTGATAAACCAGCCCCAGTGCTGTCCGCTAAGCAGGGCGGAATGCCACTCAGACTAGATAATTGAGTGACATTTCGCAGAGAAGCTCAATTGCAATGTACATAGAGAAGAAAATCTAAAAGAAAATGTCATAAAGTTTCTCTCATAGTGTTCCTCTAGAACAAGCTTGCAAACAATGCTACTCTACAAACCGCAAATTTGCTCTAACAGCACTCCTAAACTCTTCTGTTTCTCACTACCCAGCATTCTATTATATTAGTTCCCATCTAATTCCCTTTTCCTCAACATAAAACCTCCACCACCACCAGCGCCCTAAGCGATTCCAGCATTCTAGCACCACACAGCAGTAGAGGAGCCATGAAATTTTCATTGAGTGCGTGTCACAACGACTCAACAAAGATTGATTTTACACAATACAATCTGCGCCAAACAAATTAAAAAATGTACACACATATTGACAGATACTCCACAACAGTGAGACAACAGCTAATTAATTAGCTGCAGATTACCACCGGAAAATAAATGGCTGAAAGTACGATGGGAATTGAGAGTAAACCGCATACGAGTAGGGGGCAAGCACAGGCTAGGTGCCCGCGCAGGGTGGCGCTCGGCCGGCGCCCAGTGGGGGCAAGCGAGGGCCGGCAGGCTGCAGCCTTCACCCTGCCACGCGCCGGTGGCGAGCGCCTCACCGGAGAGGCGGGCGGCCAGGGGGGCGGGGAGTCACCGATAGGAGTGCGCGCGAGGCGGGGTTTTCGCCGGAGGTCACGAGCCGCGACGGCGGGCTACGCGTGAGCAGAGCGCGAGCATGCCAGAGTCCGCGTCCGCGTCCGCCGCGAGGGGAGGGGATCCCGGCGACGGCGAGCCGGCGGCGCGCGCCGCCTCTCTCTCTCTCCGACGCAGCGTGCGCCGGCCGGAGAAGACGAGTGGGCTGAAATAAAACGAAACGCCAGGCAGATGTAAGATTGGGCTTTTGTTATCGTCCTAGTGGGCCTACCGAAGCCCAAGTTTGTTACAAAAGCCCATGTAGGCCCATCCGATGGGCTGGGACTTAATCGCACGGCCCAGCTAGGTTTTAGAAAACAAATCGGCCTGAACTAGGATAAAAATCAAGTTTCGTTGAAAACAAAATCTTTTCAATTTTGGAGGAAAACAGAGGACTGATAAATTGATAATACTAGCAAGTTCTGGATCGAGAGGCAAAGAGCTCATCTGAACCATATTTTTTTTATGCTGTTGAGTGCTACTATTGCTTATCCAATTGAAAACCATGGTCCATGATTTTCTTTCTGGATTTTTGTACTGTTCTTTTTTTAGGTTGTTCTCAATGACTTTGGATAATTCTCTGTTAATACATATAGCTAATACTCTCGATTCATGTTTCAACAAAAGCAAATTATGGTTTTTTTTCCTACAAGAACCATTAACAACATGTTCAGATGATTCAGATTTCCTCTCTAACAAAAGATTTACAAAGCATCCATGCACAGAATTGCTTGTAAAACTGAACAGCTATCAGCAATAAGCTAGAGGCAGAGACCAAATGCAACACTGTACACTTGCTGCTTAGAGATGGACAGTCCAATCAATCCGTACCACTATTACCACACTGACCCACTAGCACTGCCATTAGTGCTGGTCACTAGCACTAATGACATCACTGACATGCAAATCATGGAACGCAACAGTTGCATGAACCACTCTTATACATACTTAAACAAAAACAGGGACAATGCCAATCTCTGAAGGCGACATGGATCTCAACTCTGAAGTCTGAACACTAGCTCCTAATTGCTCACCTAATGAGCTTAGCTACCACTCTACAAGAACCAGAAAAGGGAGCAGATTAATTAAGATGATCTGACAAAGACCAAATATCTGAACATTTGCCATTTGGAATTGAGGAGGGAGAGGCCTTGAGCCACTTCCAGTTTCAGGATCACGCTGATCTTCTTCTCCAATTTCTGAAAATTAACCTGGCTGATTGAATCAGCAAGTTGGAGTTTACAAAATAGAAGATCTGGCGAGTCGATCGGTGTCAGAGTTCTTCGATGCCCTCGTCGAATAGCATCTCGTGGTAGCGGCATTCGTGGCTGCAGAAGGCCTTCTCACCCCTGAATTAAGAAGAAGAAGATCAGGCATTCTGATATTCAGAATTGGTCACTTTATCAATTCTTCTGTAGATAATGATCACTTGATCAAATGGCATCAAACAGTGTGAAGAACTTAACAATATTTGTAGTATCTTTTTGCAAGTGCCAGGTGATACTTGACAGTAGTTTAATTAGTTAGTTGGCGATGTGGTTATCAATGTGCATAAATGTCCATATTAAACTCTATGGAAGTACAGACATGATAGGCTTTTCACTGAATCATCACCGTCGCCAAATTGCTTAGAGCATCAGGAAAGTTTTAATTCATTGTAAATTAACTCCAAATTGCTTAGAGCATCAGGAAAGCTTTAATTAATTTTAAATTAACTAATCAAGCAGGTTTATAGATGAGACATACTTTTCGGCTTTTCGCTCATTATCTTTCTTTCAGAAAAAAAATCAACTCCAAAAAACTTAAAAAGATTTTTCAAATCTTTGATATTGAAAATGATACTGAAATCTGAAGGTGATCGGATGAACACTCTATTCAGTTCAGAGAAATGAAGAGTAGAGTGACCTGTACATGAAGATGTCCTTGCCTAGGCCAAGGTCCTTGCTGCAGCCATGGCAGTAGCGCAAGAAGTCGCCGTCGCCGTCGTCGTCGCCCTTGCCGGCGGCGCTCGGTGGCCAGAGCTCCGGCGGGAAGTACTCGCCGTCGCCGGAGCTCTCGACGACGCGGTTGTCGAAGATGTGCGTCGTCCTCGGGTTGGCCCCGCGCGCGATGACGCAGGTGTAGTCCTCCGACATCTCCTCCATCATCTCCCTCGGCGACATCCACCGGCGGCGAGGAGGAGGCGCGTACTGCACGGCGGCGCCGCCGCTCTTGACGCCGAACTCCGTGCACGGCGCGTAGTAGTTCGTCTGGACCCGGAGCCTGATCTGCCCGGTCAGGACAGACGACGCCGCGGCGTCGCCGGGGGCGGCGTCGACCTCTCCGTCGTCGTCGTCCTCGTCGTCGTTCAGGGCGCCGACGAGCCCGAGCCCGACGGGCCTCGTCGCGTCCCAAGGGCGGTGGGTCCTGCACTGTCCATCCCCGTCGGCCGGCCCGCGCCCGACGCCGCCGCCGCCGTGGCGGCGGCGGCGGGAGAACGGGACGGCCGTGGCGGCGGCGCCGGTGGTACGTCCACTACACGGGGACGTCGCGCTGGCCGTCTGGAGAGTGGAGGTGGGGCTCATCAGGACGGCCTCCGGCGAGGCCTCGCCGGAGCTAGAAGGCACCAACAGCTTGGGAGCCGAAATGGCAGCCGCGCCGCCGCCGCCGCCGCCGTGATCAAACGCAATCTCGTGCTGCTGCTTGTTGCTGCCTCCACTACTGCTACTTGGCTTAGCTCTCTTCCTCAACATGCTAATACTAGCATCAAAATCAATAATTACCACAGCAATAATCCTGCAAAAGAATCAACGCCATGAACGCATCAGAAGATTGTGCAAGAACCAGTGGGAGATCTCGTGGACGGACGCATGCATACACGCGCGATGAACAAGATGAAAGAAATCGATTTCGTTTACCTGCAGCTAGCTAGGCTAGCCAAGCATGCAGAGCTGGCTGTTATCTTCAGTTTTCGCAGGAGATCAGCAGCATGTACAGTGTGTGTAGCTAGCTACGATGTCGCCATTAGCGAAGCTCCAGTGGTGTCTGTTAAATACATGCATGCAGATGCAGTTGATGCAGTGCAGCTAAGCTTCTCTCCGGTTTTGACTGCAGCTGGATATATGGAACGCGAGCAGGTAAGCGAGCTAGCTAGGCCCTAGAGGACTGTGCAACACACTGACACGTGGGACCGAGGGTGTGGCAGGGATGGGCGAGAAAATATAATGTGGAAACTACGTATATAAAATGTAAACCTGGAAACTACCGTTGAATAAAAAAAATAGACGTATGATATTAGTCCACATCATCACGGGTAAAAATTTTACTTGCAGATTCACTTAGAGTAAAATTTTAACTCATGATGACGTGGACGAATCTCGAACGTCCATTTTTCGATCCAACGGTAATTTCCAAGTTTCCACTACGCATATAGAGTTTGCACTACATATTTTCCTGTGATGGGCGGATGGCCCCTCTTGTTGAAACTCAATTTTTAAAATTGATTTTGAGCACTTTAGTTATTATAATCTATTTTCCGGATTTAGCTTTTAAACCGCTAATAATACAAAGGCAAAATTAGTTCCACACCATCAAGCGTTCCCCCACTTTTACTTTATATCACTAAACGTTCCCGGTACACTTTAATACCACCCAAAATTTGCTATGACTGTTAGATATTGTTTTTTTCCTTTTATTTTTGGCTGAAATATGAAGGGATACAACCATATTACCCATGCGCTACACATCTAAAACATGAGCCCTAATCAATTCTTTTTATCGATCGTCGGGCATTGCGCATTAGAGAAGCAGCACGAGCGGTGGCGCGCATAGGAGAAGCACGGCGAGCGGCTTCTAGGGCAAGACGTACGAACGACTCCGGCGGGAGTTGTAAAACAATCCTAGAGTTCATTATTAGTTGACGTTAGAGCCTTAACTGTTTGTATGAAAAATAAATGACGTTTTAGCTTTGGTGGGGTTAGTTTGGACTAATCTGAGAAAATTGATATTTTACCATCTTCGGGATAGGGTTTCCCTGGAATGCTACTCCCGAATATGGCTTCGTTAAAATGTCACTTTCAAACAAAGCCAACTCGCTAAAATGCCATTTCGACCAATTTAGGTTATTTCGAAATGTTTTCACCGTGATCCGACATATTTGCCCCTAGCCATTTCGTTGACTTGCGTGAGAAAGGGGATCGATCCCACCCAGTCGTCTTCTTCCTCCCATCTTGCCGCCGGCAACCACCACTTCTTCCAACTCCCCCTTTCCATCTTCCCCTTCCTTGCCGGCCACGCCTATCTCACCACGCCTTCCTCTCCGGTGACCACCTCGGCCGTCGCGCCGCCAAAGAGGAATTGTGAGGTGTCCGTGTCCATGTCCATGGTTGCGTCGGCGTCGGCAGTCCGGCCGCCGATGACGTGAGGGACGTCGTCGCTGCCACACAACCTCCGCGGGTCGCCCATGTGCGGGAGCTCCATGCGCAGGTGCTCAAGCAAGGGCTCCACCTCAACCTGCGCTCCGCGGCGAGGCTGGTGTCCGCCTACGCGCTACTCCGTCTCCTCCCGCGTCTTCAACGCGGTCCAGGACCCGCACGCCGACGCCTTCCTCGCCAACACCTTGCTCCGTGCCTACGTGCTCGGCGGCGCGCCACAGGACACGCTCACCACGTTCTCCGCCATGCTGCGCAGGGGGCATGGCGAGGCACTCAAGGAGGAGGTCGTCGGAGAGGACGAAGATAGGAGCCGACGACGTGGGAGGCGATAGTTGCGAGGTGGAGCAAAGACTGACAAGGGCATTTTGGTCGCAACAAGAGAGCAAAATGGTGGAAAACATATCGGAATCACCTAAAATGCTCGAAATGGCATTCCAGCAAGTTGGCTTCGTTTGAAAGTGGTATTTTAACGAAACCACATTTGGGAGTGGTATTCCAGCGAAACCCCATCCCGAAGTTGGCAAAATGTCAATTTTCTCTCCAATTTACCCCCTTGCATGCATGCAAAACACATTAAGCTAGCCACATAGATTGATAGATATATTTAATATGGGTATAATAGGAAATAGTCACTCTAATTAATTACTCATTGGTATTTGAACTCTTAACTAAAGCGTCAATTAATAAAGAACCGGAGGACTAGTTTTTAATATGTCTTCAACCTATTACACTTTGACCATTAGTTTTTTCCATATATAATACATTATCAACAGCTACAAAATTAACATCATAAAAAATATTTTCAAATACAAATATAGTGGCGCTAAACATATATATACTCGCTCTGTTTTTAAGAATTGACGACTTTGACTTTCCCATTTAAACTTTGATCATTAATAACTCTTAAATTATTAACAAACATTTTAATTCTTATATTTAGGACATAACATAATTTAATAGCATGGCCTTATTTCTAGTGTTTGTAAATATTAAAAAAAGATGAGTAGTTAAAGTTTAAAATTGTACAACGCTCACAGTTATTTTAAAACAGAGGAAATACGTTGTTAGTTTAATTATCAATCAAAATTTCCAGATACTGATTTTCCTGAATATTGTATATAACACATACTTCCTTCGTCACAGAATATAGAAATCTAAAACTGAATATGATTTAACTTATGGCTATAAATCTATACATGATATGTGTCCTGATTCATAGAGTCCTATCCGTTCATATATGGTGTCTTCCTGGCTAGCTGCACATCCGAACAAACGTACACACTGTCTCGCCGTACTACGGCCGGTGCATGCATGCGATCTCTCGTTCTCTCACGTACGGTCTCTGAGTCTCTCTCGTGTGTACTGTGCAATACGAGTACTCCAGTGTGTAGTGGTAGGCTAGCTAGGATTGCAATGTTGCAGCCAAAGGATGGATGCAGCTAGCTAGAAAAGGGACAAATGCTGCGTGAAATGGAGACAAAGCATATGGTTATGTAGCAGGCATTAATTACAAATGTATGCATGCAATGCCAGTAGGCCTTTTCAGGTCTCCTTTGGAACGATATGGAAAAATAGAGGAATTTTGGAGGGTTGTTGGTTCCTATGAAAAAAGTTTATATGTGGTCTTTTGGAACAAAGGAATAGTTTCTCTCGATTTCTTCTGAAATTACTATGGATTGAGATGTTGCATATGAATTTTAGAGGAATCGATCTAGCATGAGTTTCTACCCCATATTTTTCTCTCCCAATAACACAAAGTTCCTGTGGTTATACCTCGATCTATATCTCTTTGTTTTCCATTCCTATGTTTTACACTTAGATTCATTTCATATTCCTATATATACTTTTCCTATCCTATGTCCTTTCTATCCTATGTTTTTCCTATCTTGTAATCCAAATGAGCCCTGACCGATGTACTTCCTCCGTCCCAAAATACAGTAATCAAGTAATCAATACTAGATTAGACACAAGTACTATGAATCTTGTGTCTTATTTAGGGTGTGTTTGGTTGCTAGTCACACTTTGCCATAATTAAGGTTAGGTAAGTTGTGGCAGCCGTAAAAGTGTGGGAGATAAATTGTTAGCCACAAAGTGTGGTAAAGTTGACAGGAAAATTGAGTCTATGACGTGTGGGACATGCTATTGAAAAGTAGTAACAACTGTGGCAGTAAACCAAACGCATATCTAACAAACTGTGGTAGCCAAAAGTGTGGCCAACCAAACACCCCTTTAGTACGTACTAAGTTGCTATGTTTGGGACGGATGAAGTACTATTTAAAGGAATAGGGATAGATTATTTCAGCAAAGATTAAGAATAGGGATAATTATTTTCTCCAGTCATATTGTTAGTCAAATTGTAAATTTTGAATTGCTTGGAGTCCCCACAAATCATTTGATTACCTGAAAATGCTATACTCAGTGCTATAGAATTAGTGTCACAGAAATGCTTATGTTACATACAGAAATGATTATAATTGTGAACGGAGAGAGTATATACATGTTCTTGGAAAACCTCCTCCGTCGTTGCTTGGTGTAAGTGTAATTTGTATTTTTTTTCTTAGGTTTACCTTTTGTTTGTCAAGATTTGTCACTTGATCGAGAAGTGGGGTTTAAGCCCTCGACTGCGAACATATTCCTAGAATACAATGAAAATGATAATCATTAAAATTTTATAATCGGGTAATAGTGTTACTTATCTCTTCCCAAAACTAGCAAGGTCGAATTTTATCTTCGGAGATACACCAAAACAAAAATTCCAATTGCAGATTGGACTGCACTTTTTTTTGGCCTAATTTGTTATTTGAGTTATTTTGGTTAATTTCTTCATGTCAACTTACACGGTTACTCCTATATATGTAAGATTTTTAAAGAAACATTTGTAATTATTTGGGTCGCATGCAAAAGAAAATGATGGCTTAAAACACTTTCCAGTTTTATTGGCACTCCATGTATGCGTACATTTTGTTTATTAATAATTTATGATGTTCCCCTGCATAGTGAATATATCAGGCAAATTCTGGACAACTGGAGTAAAAAAAAGAACATATTATATTGTCTTGGCAATTGTGACTTTTAAAATTTAAATAGTGTCGCAAAACGTTATTCATCACCAGATAAAACCGATCGGTCCGTAGGATCTTGCAAAAAAAAAAAAAAAGGTGTTGCTGCTGTTTGCAGCAGGTCAGACTTTAAAGACTTCTTGAGGAGCAGACACCACATGGGTTTTGTTTCTAACAGAACCAATAATATGGGTGGTTCATATGTGCAAAACGGAGATGGTTCAGGATACATTCACTTATAAAATCCTAAGCTAGGAGTAGTAAGTAGTAACCACTTCCTCCGTTTCACAATATATTCTATCTAATTCATTAACATCAATATAAATATGGGAAATGCTAGAATGACTTATATTGTGAAACGGAGGGAGTACTTATTTATTATATACTCCCTCCTTTCCTAAATGTTTGACGCCGTTGATTTTTTTAAATATGTTTGACCATTCGTCTTATTCAAAAACTTTTGTGAAATATGTAAAACTATATGTATACATAAAAGTATATTTAACAATAAATCAAATGATAGGAAAAGAATTAATAATTACTTAAATTTTTTAATAAGACGAACGGTCAAACATTTTTTAAAAAGTCAACGGCGTCAAACATTTTAGGATGGAGGGAG